GTTAGTTCTGTTTAAGTCGAATTTTACTCATCCATTGTAAGGGAGCAAAACATTGAGAGATGAATAAATAATGTTCAAGTTCAAAAATACACATTTCTATTACATTTGTATTTTCTATGACCTTTCTAACTTGTTTCTTGAAAATATGCCCAGTAGCTCCATTTTTTTTTTCATTTTTGCTATCCAGTTGGCATTAATCTGTAATAATTAAATCATGAAGAAGATGTATTCTTCAATTCGGTCTGAAGCTCCTTAAACATTTGCATATGAATAAGTTCGAATTGATATAATTTCATTAACCTTTTAACCACAGTTCCCTCTTTTCGTCACAAATTCACAAAATAGTCCCGTTTATAGTCTGCACTTTCCTTCAGAAGATTAGGACAAAAATAGTAAAAAAAAATTAGTAAAAACTGAAAATTGACGCAAATTTTGTCAGTTTGCTCCAAAATTAAAGTTTATTTCCTGAAATATTGAAAAATATAAGAAAAAAATTGCAGAATAATTCAGGCGAGAAAATCTGGTGGTTAATCATCAATCTTTCGTCATTTAAATCGATTATTTCCATATTTCAATCCATATTTCTACACACTCTTAATAGGGATACTAAGACAAGTAATGTCTCCTGACATCAAAGTAAGAAAAAAAATCACCAGATTGATGTTATTAAACTGTATTTCTGGTGACACTATTATCCCTTAATAATTACTTAACCTGCATATTGTAAAATACTTTAATTTTAGCTGGAATTAATTTTCACTGAAATAACATTTTGGCTGTTTTGTATGAAGTTTATTTTGAATGAATTGAATGTAAAATACAGGAACAAAGGTATGTTCACTGAAATTTATTTTCGCTGGTACATCCCTTCATTGGAAATAGAAAAAATAAATTGCAAGTGAAAACAAAGTATGTTTGTCATTTCCAGTCATCTATATTTATAACCAATGAAATGTTTGAATCTAAAAAAGAGTAATATCAAAAAGTCTGATTTGATAATAAATCTGAACTTGAATTCTCCGGTAGGATGCTATTGTGCTGCAAATTTACATTAGTGCAGAGCCGTCTGATTTTCACATGATTATTTAGCTGTGAAAATGGTCAAAATTAACAGAAGTTATGAAAAAAACGAAAGAGCCCACAATCGTACCTCGAGAATTATAATTATGAAAGAACTGTTTCTAGGTGTCAATCACAAAGGAAACATTGACTGTGTGTTATTAAAATGACTGAATGTATGATGGCATCTATGACGACAATTTACAGATAAAGCTGGAATGTATATTGTATATTCATGGTTGCTATGGATACCACAGTAAAATGCATAGGAGTAGAATTGCTGTGTTTGAACTGACAATGGTCGTTCCAGATGTATTGCATAGGTCTTCGTCGCAACAGTCAAAAATGCTGAATTCTGTAAAATAGCGGAAACACGTATAAGAATGAAAATAATAATTAGAATGTTCATGTATGAAATACTGTGGAATACTTTATTTTCGCTGGAATTAATTTTCGCTGAAAAGGCTTTTTGGGCGTTTTGTGTGGAATTTATTTTCACTGATTTTTGATAAGTTTAATGTGAAATATAGGAAAAAAAGTATATTCACTGGATTTTATTTTCACGGAAACATCCCTTCAGCGAAAATAGAGAAAATAATTCCAAGCAAAAATAAGTATTCTACAGTATAATGTTTATGTAAAAGTGTATAATCATTCTGTTTTACAATCTGACGTAATCATTCTTTTTTACAATCTGCGTAGAGGGCAATCCAATGGAAATGGGATTCTAGTTTCATTGTTTCATTTTAGTTTGCAAAATTAATTTTTGGTATTGTCATTGCTCCAGCAAAAATTTTCCGTCGCAATTTACAGCAAGTCTCAGAAGTACTGGGGCAGCCAATTTGCAAACTCGCTAGCGAATTGGCTAACTGCTTGTATTTTGACTGAACAGTTAGTTTTCGAATCTCGCTATCGCTGACTTGTGGTCGTGTCTGTTTGAGGCTTGCTGTTAAGTACTATTTCTGTGACAACTGTACAACTTCTATATTATTATATATTTGCTAGTAGTATTTTAAAGTTTTGATAATCGCGAAAGCCCACAAGGTGGTGAAAGTTATCAAATTACAAATAAACAAGAAAATATAGTTAAAATATATGCCGATTTCGATAAGACTGCAGTAGAAGCCATCTACAAAAGTGAAATGGTTTTCTAGAAATCTCACTTAAGGTTTTTATTGTATATGTACACCATTCGTGAAACAAACATGGTTTTGGCTGTCTTTCGTTTGTATATTTACAACACTAATATTTTGTTCAGGGTACAAGACC